ATTTTATTTTATTTTATTTTATTTTATTTTATTTTATTTTATTTTATTTTATTTTATTTTATTTTATTTTATTTTAATTTATTTTAATTTTATTTAATTTTATTTATTCAAACTAACCTGTGACTTTGTTGCTTTTTCAATTTTTCCTAATTAATTTTAATTTAATTTAATTTAATTTAATTTAATTTTATTTTATTTTATTTTATTTTATTTTATTTTATTTTATTTTATTTTATTTTATTTTATTTTATTTTATTTTATTTTAATTTATTTTAATTTTATTTTATTTTATTTATTCAAACTAACCTGTGTCCATTTGTTGTTGTGCGTATCGTAGCGCTCTACCATATTTGTCGGCACCTCACTGCAGTCACCACCAAGAGCGTAAATATATTGGCCCGCGGAGGCTAACTGCAAGGCAAAAGAAAAAAGGTATTAATAAAGAGAAAACAGCGAATGCTTTGTTTTTGCATTCGAATAGCCTATGGCCTATACGTAGTTTTCCTCTGCTTCANATATTGGCCCGCGGAGGCTAACTGCAAGGCAAAAGAAAAAAGGTATTAATAAAGAGAAAACAGCGAATGCTTTGTTTTTGCATTCGATTAGCCTATGGAGTATACGTAGTTTTCCTCTGCTTCTCCCAAAAAACTCACCGCTATCGCACCCCGCGCCTGTAACAGCGGTGCACACTGCTCCCAACGATCCCGCCGTGGATTATATCGCTCGACCGCATTCGTGTCACTATCGGTGCCATTGTTTGTGACCATACCACCAACCACATACAAGTAGCCTTCATGCTTCAGCGCTGCAGCTCTTGTGCGACCAGTAATCAGCTTAGGTGCAGCGGTCAAACTATCGGTTTCGGGGTTCCAACTAAGATGTGGGATATGCGCACTTAGATATTTGTTAAATAAATTTAAACTTCCAACTTACACATATACTTTACGATTATCCTCTGAGTCTGCACCTATCATATATAGGCGATCCTGAAATTCGACAGCGTAATAACAACGCCAAAAAGGCTGTTCCGCTTTGAGCGGCTTCAAGGTGCGTATAGCGCGTGTTGTTGTATCGTAACAACATATTCTCACGCCATCCTTCCAATCGTAGAATAAGAGATATTGTTTCACTATTACTGTACGAAAGAGACCTTTAACTGGGATTTCATGGCAGACGGTCCAGTATTCTTTGGCGCTGTTGTACTTCAAGACCTTTGTGGAGTTCTGTAACCAGGAAAAAGATAACATATGAAAATAGAGGTCTATAAACGCAATAAGAATATCTCGGAAAGAAAAAAGCTAGGTAATGCAGTTTTTGGCGAGACTGAAATAGTAGTCGTGGCATTTAGAAAATAGGCGCAGAAGAATATCCTATTTTCGTTAGATCTGATCATTCATGTTTGGAAATAGAACCTATAGAGGACTGCCAACGCCGAGTTCGATATGTTCTCAGAAATACCAAAACCCCCTATAGAACTTGCATCGCATCGGGTATTCTCGCAGCTTTTGAAGAGGCCTAGGAATTTTTTCTGGATTTTTCTCCACTCTTAGGGAAGCTTTTAGGATTCTCTCGTTGTTTCGAAAAAATTACTGTTTTGCTCGAGAATTTCTGCGCATTCTCAGAATTTTCTTGGACCTTTAACTCTTATCGGAATTTTTTGGTACTTGTTGGGATGTTTCGCATAATTTTCGACACCTCTCGGTATTTTTTGTGACTTTTCGAAACAATTCTAGCATACCAAGATTTTTCGAAAACGTAACGTGATTTTTACTAATTGCTTGAACTTTTTTGTAAGTTTTCGGAGCTTTCTATATTTTTAACAATTTTTGTGAGTTTTCGATATTTGCTTGGGATTCTGCGGGACAATTTAGATCATTAGACAGTTTTTATATGTTCTCCAAAATTTTCGAGACTTCTAGAGATTTTATAGGGAACCTTATTTCGGGGCCTTTCGATATTTCTTTCATCACTATTCAAAATATTTTTTGTATTCCAAAGTTTATCGGGAATTTCGAGTAGTTTTCGGTAGTTTTATCGAGATTTTTTAAGATTACCTTGTGAAGTTTCCGGGACTTGTGAGGACTTTTTTAAACTTTTTTCTGATTTGCTCGGGAACTTTCTGGATTCTTTTCGAAAATTTTTAGACTTATAGATTTTTATTGGAGTTTTTTTTAGGACTTTTCTTAGTTTTTTTCGAGACTTTACGTGACTTATAGTCTTAGTCTTGCGGAATTTCTAGNATTCTTTTCGAAAATTTTTAGACTTATAGATTTTTATTGGAGTTTTTTTTTAGGACTTTTCTTAGTTTTTTTCGAGACTTTACGGGACTTATAGTCTTAGTCTTTCGGAATTTCTATAATTTCTCTCGAACGTACTTAATTGCATACCTCCGGTTCAAATTGCACAGCCAATAAACAGCTGTTGCTGTCGTTGTATGTGTACTTCACACCTACGTTGGCCGAAACATTTTGTACAGTTGGAATAGTTGCGATTTCTTTATCCCTCGAACAGGAAGAGCCCATTGCATGGCTGAATATTCAATCGGAATGAAGTTGTACTCGAATCGTCACAAATTTGTTCTATAAAAAGTGCCCAACTTTTGAGGGATTGCCTTTGTTTCAACTTTTGAATATTTTTTTTAGTTTTATAAATTTTTTTATCCGCATACACCGTTCTTACTCGCTTCTAAGACTGCACTAAACTTTGTAATGCATTTATGGAATGCAGTTGAAGTTTAGCTGGCATTTTTTTATTTTTATCAACACCGATAAGACAAGGTACTCGAGATAAGAATGAATCATACGTTTCTAATGCCAAATGTTTGTATGTTTGTACATATATGCCTCCATATGAATGCACTTGCATATGTACATATTTATGAATGACAGTGTTCCTACATAGATGACTGTCAATGTTTTAGCTTTCGTACGCCAGTAAACTACTACGTAGCTTCTCCGAACGATGGGTAGCGAGTTCAATCCAAAAAGTGAACAACTTCGACAGGAGAAAGCTGAGCTCTTTGCGTATTCGATCGAAGGCTGTCCAAAATTTTGTTTTTCTCTAGACAGCTTTGGATTATTTGTGTTAATAACAGTTGACCTGCCGATCATGATCAATAATATTTCTAAATTTCTTCCAATGCCCTTATGTCTGCTGTAAGAATTTATTTGTCAAAGTATCGATACAACTTTGGTGCACCCCCGTATCCATGCACTTTTTGTAGTTATAAAGATAAGGCTTGAAATATTTTTTTTTTGTTTGCAAAAATATTTAGAAATAGTACGTACATCGCTCATTTGCTGCAAGAATATCATAACATAAAAACGATTTTAATTAAGTATGCATCTTCTTCATAACTGTATCAATTTACCATTAGCAATAGAACATTAGCAGAAAATGTATCTTCATTTTTACTATGGTAGCGTATGTTAACTGTAAACTTGAAAGCCATTTTTCTCGAGTTTCTTATTTTTGGATAATGACACTCTTGTAGGAAATGAGATATATGTCGTTTTTGAGGTATACTTGTGAAACTGATAAGAACTTTGTTCTTATTTCTGATTTAATCATTCTGCGAAAAGCACTTGAAGTTAGCTAGTCATTGAAATGACAATAATGATAAGAGGGTTTTACTATGCGAATGTGAATATCTAAACTTTAGGTCTGTATAAGCTTTTAGGGATTGTACAGTGCTGATAACAACCGGAAATACACACGTTTGAATTAAATGGTTAGGATGGGAATGCGAGGTAATTGCGAACCAGCTGGCATGGAAGGGAAGCAATCTGTAATCGATCAGGTTTGCTCCAATTACCGAAAAGAAAACTATGTATCTTCAAACGAACTATGGCTTAGATCTGTTTTTATTGAACAAGATAATCATAAATGGGCCACGAGTTAATGGAGACAGATATTAGCCTCTAGTTCTCCTTGATCATCTCTACATTAGCTTAGAGATTGGTTTTATTAATGGACACTGACTTCTACCGCAGTTGCAGGAACGAGGAGGAGGTAACTAGCATCGAGCGCTTTCTCTGTCATTGTCTTGTCTTATCATAAATACGATAACGTAAACCGAAATATCTCCTTGACGACTGCCCAGCGGACTCAGAGTAAATCAGGGTAAATAAACCTGCAAAAAATTGTGCGACTAATCTCTAAAGAGAGTATTCCGAGATTACTCTCAATCGGGTACAATTGGGCATTATTTAACCGCAACTATTCGCATACGGGTATTATTGGATATCAATTAGTCCCAGACTCATATTTAATTTATTTATTTAAAAGTGACGAGTCGCGTTTTATATATAAAAGTGGTATTTATTAGTCCCAAGTTCCTTTGCGATTGCTCCCGGAGTCATCCCGGACTAGTCGAATTTTTTGCAGGGAAGTGAATACTTTATATGGGAAGGCAGATGAAGGTTCATATCAGGGCAAGGTAGTATATCACAATGGGGCTTCTGGCTCAAGTGTGACGCCCTAAATTCCTGAGTGAAAGTCAACGTAACATAACCTAAGCTATGGTGTATGCCTAATGCGAAGTATTAATCGTAGAACAAAATTACATAGCTTTGCACATTCTTCTATTTTCTTACTACACATGTATCCTCAATAAGAATGGTAAATGCACTCGCTGCGACAAGGTAAATGGCAAGGGCGAACTCTCCAACTTTCTCGCATTATCTGCCTTTTCTTCAAAATTTGTATCTACTAAGCTGTAATATATGATAACATCGCATCAAAAAAACTAGTCCCTTAACAGTTTTGAAATCAAGGACGAAATGGATTTTTAGAAAAATAAAACATTCAAAGGACAGCATCATTATAAAAAGGGCTGTCCTTTGAAATAAAGTACGGACGGTGACCGTAATTATACATATTGTCAAATACTTCCTTAGACCTAGGTGCGTCGAACCCTTTTAATTGCCAGTTACCAGGGTGGTTACACCATTATATAAATAAATCTTACTAATCCGGTTGCCGATGGATTTCGCAAGCAAACCTTATTTCCTTCCTTCCGCTTGCAGTGATTCCTACTGTTTGTCATTCTGTTCGTGTCGTCTCATGCCACGATTGAGAGAAATAGAGGTTGCCACATTATTGACTTTCTCCCCGAAGGAGGGGGCGTGCATTCATCACCGAAGAACACACAGTTTTGCCAGCCAAATTGTTGTCTGCTGCTGCTACTGGTCAGGGGATTTCCTTGCTTGGCGGTGTAAGCGCCTACGAGATTTTGGTGAGTCTGATAAAGTATGGCAGGCGTTTCACGACGCCATTTTGGAAATACCAACTGAGGCCAAGTATATCTCTTCCAGTCTTGGAAAGGAGGCCTTCCTCCTCATCTGGCATCACCAGCTGTTACCGCATTGAAAGCTACACTTGTTTGCAAGATTGATTGATTCAAAGCAGAGATAATTTTTGGCTTGCAAAATAAATTCAGTCCTCTACCTGGAGTCCTCCAGTTGCTATCACGCACTCATAAATATTGCGCTTGAGCGATTCAGTTTGCAGTTTCTTTATTATCATTTTCAGCATCAAAATGAGTCACATGATGGAAAGTCGTCCTGTCTTTGGCATTGATCGGCTGGCAGAGATCCTTCATAATTCTGCCGGTGCTGGTAGTGTTGCGCAACGCTATTTTGCAGAGCCCTAATTTCAGACTCATCAACTTAGATCAGTTGGCAGGTCGTCAGCTTCAGCGGCTTTGTTGTTTTTCAGCACAGAATTTTTTCAGAAAATGTGCAGGTTATTTGCAGGGACCGTAAAAGTTACAACTTTTATTAAAAAAATTGCTCTTTAACAATTACTTTTTTACTTTTATTTAATAACTCCTTAAACAACAGTGTTTTTATTTTTGTTTTATAAATCCATAATAACAAATATTTTTGATTTTGTTCTGAAAAATCTGCAAATAACAGTTATTTTTATTTATAGCAAGAGAAATTAAAAATTCATCGGCTGTAAGCGATATGTTTACCTGTTTTATTTCTTCCCGTTTATGCTCAATGAAAGCCAAATTTGCTAAGTCAAAAAGAGGTACAGGTAACTCGATAGGACCACAATGATCTTTTTATTAACAGCGAACCCTTTACACTCGTATGGAGTTTTGCTTTGCTTTAGACACTCAAAATATCGTCTTAAAAGTTTTGTAAAGTACTAGCAGAAAATGGCTATAAGCATTTTTTGTCCTCGCCTTTAAAACTTGCACAAATGGTCTTAGCAACTTTTCACTCCAAGCTTGCGTTTTGAAAACAAAGTTAATGTTCTGAATTTCCTTCCTGCGCGTTATGAATTAGTTACCATCACCAGCATATATTCAATTATAGCCACCCCAAATTGCTAAAGAAACTCATTTCTTTTACAACTCACACAAAACAACGCTAAAAATTTTAGTGAAATTTCTTGGCAAAAGTTAGCTGAGTCAACTAAATTAGCTCAGCTGTTCTGCTGCTACTCTCATTGTTCTTTGTTTGCATTTCTTTCGCACTCACTTCCCCATCACTTAGCGACTCAACTCAATTATGTACATATGTATACATACACTGCTACGTAACGGTTGTTTTTCTTTTACAAAGTTTCTACGCTAGATGGCGCAGTTGCTGCCAAGACGTTGGCAAATCGCCAAGTTAACGATAATGCAGCAAATTGAGAATAGATGGCGCTCAACGCGTTGTTGGTTGGAGTGAGTGCTGAAGGAAAGGGTAAGAAATGATGGCATAAAGAGAATATAATATATTATATATAAACTAAAAAAAAAAAACATACCTATTTAGAGGACTCACAAGACATCTTAGGCGTTGTAATGTCTTATAATCGTAATATGTTTTCATGTAAAACAACAATCCAAATGTCTTATGTGCACTTACTCTTTGCACTGGCAGACCGTTTAGTAGGCTTAAGCAACAAATGGCATACTTGACTGTACGCTAAGTTCACTTGCATATTAACACACACATGCACACACAAGCAGACTCTTGAGTAGTACCTTTGAAGTGAGAGGTTACTTGAAATTATGCGCTTAGTAGGGCGGTCGGCGCGCTTTGATGAGCTACCGCCGCCTTGGACGATGTGCAGCTAGCAAGGAAAGAAGCGTACGAAATGTTGCAAGTATCTAGTACATGCAAACTCAAGCTTCCTTGCAAGCTTCATACATATATATTTTTCTTTTTTGCTTCTATTTCCAACGCCACTCTCTGCTCGAGTGCCACTTCATTCACACCAAAAAAAGGATTTTCAAAGGAAAGCCGCCACTGCAGCTTTCTACGACACAGACAACGACACCTACATACATATAGAGCTGGCGTAAGGAAGTTGGCATTTCATTTTGTGGATTATAGTGCTGAGTTTTTCCTTTATGCATTGATGTGTGTTGAATTTATGCATTTGTGGGTGCCTACATGCATATATGTGCGTACATATGTATGCATATACATATAATGTTCTTGAGTGTCCTTACTTATTTAATGTACCACAACAGCGCTAAAATGTGCAACAAGCAGCTAAACAACACAATTAAGCAACACTTAAGGAGTTGACTTAAAAGACAAGCGGCAGATATCCTTATGTGAATATGTATGTATATACCTTTGTTCATACGAGTACATAAGTATGTCGTTTATGAAGAAAAGCCACTCAAAATCTGAAGGCATTTTAGAGAAAAGCTTTGAAGTTTCGCCGGTCAACTTTCG